TATATATGCATGTATCTATATATGTGTATATGTGTAACTAGGGAGTACCAATATGGCGGCCAGTGGCTTCACCTCAACCCCGTACTACCAACGGGCAGTCAGTAATCCAGTGAATAAATAGATATCAGTGACGTATGCCTGTATAAACCAATGCCGATGCAAGGAATTGGCCTGGCATATCAGCCGGCTGATGTATCGGTGCATCTCTTATCAAAACGCAGTTATTTCCACAAGCCTTCTTCAGAGACGCTACTCCTGCAATCACAGTGGTGCTTTATAGGAGGGTAGCTGCTGTTTCTGGTGAATCGGTGGCAATTAGCGTGAGGCGATCAGGATGTGCTCCACTTGTCTAATGCAGGCTTTCTGGAAGTGCTCTCTCAGTGCACGGCTCGCTCATTCAGCTCTCTCGTTTTCCTTTCAGATCCTGGAAAAAGCCGCACAGATTGCCAGAGCCAGCGACTGCATATCCATAGTGAGTATCGGCCTAATGAGAGCGTGCCTTCATTAATTCACAACACATCCCACTTTGAATTAAAGTTAAATTACATGCTGAGAAATTTCTCACAGCCTCTTCCTCCACACAGACACAGCTCTGAGCAAACATGTCAAACAGGCATCCATACTCCGGTTTCCTTGGAAATCTATTGTAATCACTTGATAGGGCCTTTTAGTAAAAAAACTATTCACGCCTCTTAAAACAACCCACCCAACTTTATAAAAGAAAAAAAAAAAACTAGAACAACTAATCAAATTACTTGTCTGTCTTCCTGTTTCGACGCCCCTCAGCCAGGAACCTACTGCTGGGTGTGTTTCAGCAGGTTACGTAATCAGTGCCTCACAGAGGGCATGTCTGCACAAAGACTCTCAGTTTAACGTGTGAGAAACTGGCTACAGTTTGAAGCTGTTTCAGGACAAATATTTAGATTTATACACTTTTTAGATTAAATCTATAAGCTTTAGTCTTATTTATTCATGGGGTTAGTCCTCCTTCTAAGGGCTCTTTTTTAGTAAGACTTGAACAGAAGTTTTGGTACTCTGCTGCCCTCTTGTGGTTCTTCACTGTAACTGTTTGCTCCTCACATGCTCTTTTTTAATTTTAATTTTTTTATTATCAATAAGGCAGTAAATCTGAGGCATCTGGATTCAAATTTATTTGTTTGCTAATTGCTGCAAGCAAAGGACATGTTTTGTAAATGGAAATTAACAAAAAAAAAATCTGATCCAGAAATGAAAATGTTATAAAACTTTTTCATAAAAAAAAAAAGGTTTTGAGAATAAAATTGTTTACTCAGATTTTATTTTTGTTGCTAAAGCTTTTTTTTGTTGTAATATTTAAGTTTTATGAATATTTTTATTTTTAAATTGCATTTTTCAAATTGCATTCTCTTCACTAATGAGGCGGGCTTTCCTCTGGAGTGACGAGCAAAGATGCATTTCTATTGGTCTGCATGACTTAGCGACAATAGTTTAATATTATTAATTGTTAAAATTTTGTATTATTAATAAAACTACATCTAAAAAATAAATTTCTAAAAGTAAAATCTGTTAAAAAGATATATATACAGATATGATATTTTTAATAATTTAGGAAAGAAAAAAAGAGTTTTCTAAGAAAACAAATTTATTTTCAAAACATTTTTCTTTTCAATTTTTTATTTACAAAACATCTTCTTTGCTTAAAAAAATAATGGGACAAAGTTCCCCCCATAAGTGTCTATTTGGTCTTAAAAATGAAACAGAGTGCTTTAAAGAAATGATCTAAACATCTATTTCTTCATTCTAGCTCTGTATATCTGGAAACAACTGATGTTTATCTCTTAATTTCCTCTAAATTGAAACGTTCTCCATCTTTGCTGCCTTCTGCTCCCATGATGCTCTCAGGGACGCGGCGGTAAGAAGTTCCACATCGAACTGAAGGAGATCATGGAGCGGGACCCGCTTTCTCAGCTGTGTGAAAACGAGAAGGATTTGATTTGGACACTACGCCACGACTGCTATGAGAACTTCCCCCAGTCTCTACCAAAGCTGCTGCTCTCTGTTAAGTGGAGCAAACACGAGGACATGGCTCAGGTTAGCCAATTAAATGAACCATTCATTCTAATTGGATTCTTGTGAACTGAATTGGGGAGCAACAAGAAAAGTTTAGGAGCAAATGGTTTAAGCTATTTGAAATATATTTTATTATATTCTTTTTTTTTTTGCTTGTGTTCTTTTATTTTGATGATGTTTCCCCACTAAGCGTGAACGTCTTCTATGGGGACGCTTATTTAATGACTGCCCTTTCTGTACTTAAGGCTGTAAAAAGTTTCCTTAATGTTATTTTCATGATTATGAACTTTATAAAACCCATCTTACTGTAAACTGAAATAAGATTGTTTTATATCATCCCTTCTGACTGTTTCACTGAGCTTTTAATCCTCAGCCAGCCAAGGACCAGAACATCTCTAGTTTTTAATATCTGGGTTTGTGTGTGTCTCAGCTCCAGGCATTGCTTCAAATTTGGCCCAGATTGAGTCCCAGAGACGCTCTGGAGCTTCTGGACTTTAACTATCCTGATCAGTACGTCAGAGAGTACGCCGTGCGCTGCCTGCGGGATATGAGGTAAATCACTGCCTGTCTAAAATACTCCTGCTTATTCAAGTTCTCCAGTTTCATGTTAAAAATTTACCGTATTTTGTTGGGTTTACATGTAAAACACAAAATAACAGATTTGTTAAAATAAATTATCAAAATTTTTCACAAATACTGACATTGGGGGAAATATTTCTTTAGATCTATTTTCCTAGATCTATGTCATTCAGGGAATCTTTCCCAAAATGGAGTTCAATATACAGGTGAAGATGCTCAGTCATCCAGGTCATAGTCATTCCAGAAAGGTAAAAAACAATCCACTAGACTTTGTTTCCAAGTTTGAAGATGTTTCGCTTCCCATCCAGGAAGCTTTTTCTATTCAAAATGTCAGAAATAGCGTTGAGTTCGAGGCTTTATACAGTCATCCATCATGGCCTCAATTGCTGCATTGTAGTTTTTTTTTGTTTTAAAACCTACAATCCAGCGATTGAGTTGATCCCTTCCTGCTATCATCGTAACCCCGACCCCTTTAAAGGGGAACAGAATACCTCGCCTATTCAGCCAGGCCAACAATTGCCTTTAACGACCCCACTTTCAGAGACATAGACAGGTATGGGGCATCGCAGGCTAACAAACCCCCATTCCAAAGGGGTGGACCCGTTTATCCGTTTCAATTTGCATGTTTTCTAAGCAAAAACAAGTCTTTGTTGGGCTACTGTATAAAGAAACTCAATGCTAATTCTGACATTTTGGATTGAAAAAGCTTCCTGGATTGGAAGCGAAACGTCTTCCAACTAAAAAAAAATGTAAGAATGAAAGATGATCAAAGCAAAAGGTGAATTTAACTCAAATAGATGCACTGTGGAATCTGGCTTAAGCAGTCAAAAGATCATAAAAGGGTCAAAATCCAGTTCTTTGTTTTATTCTCCGTTCAGACAAAACAGGTTACAGGCTTCACAGGATTCTGCTACTGCTCGTAAGGACTGGTTATCCTTCTGCAGCTGTGTGTCGCATAGAAACTGACACAGGAGTGGATTTTCACTCCTGTCCCGTCCCACTCCCACAGAAAGAAATTGTGTCCCGTCCCGATCCCAGGCCAGAGTAGAAATCTAAATCCTGTCCCGTCCCACTCCTGGTGAAATTACTCCCACTCCCATCCCGCTCCCATTCAAAATGACTCCCACTCCCGCACCACTCCCATTCTTGTTTTTTTTTTTTTTGAGCGCGGGTGAAAAACTCTTTTTTTGACTCGCATTATAGTGTAGGCTTCAAGAAAAAAACTACAAAATGGCGGCGCCAGTACTGGACTTTTTTTCTTTCTATTTTATTTTATTTTTTGGCATCGATTATTATTGGTTTGCTCCCGCTCCCGTCTGCTCCCGTTAATGTTTTATCCTGTACCGTCCCAATCACGTGATCATTACTAATACTGACTCCCATCCCACGGGAATCCCGTGACCCGTGGGATTCCCGAAAAAAATGTCAGTCTCTAGTGTCGCAGTGAACTGGTCGCAGATATTTTGATTCATGTCCAATATTGAAGCGTGGTCTGCGCTAGTTTATTCCGCGTCACAACGCAAGAGGGCCAATCAGGAACTAGCTGTGGGTCTAAATACGGCCGAGGCGGTGAGGAAGTGGGGGCAAGTTTGTGCGACAACGGAGGGACATGAGGGCGAAAAAGAGCGGGGATCCAGGTGGGAAAAGGGTCCCAGCGTTCTCACGCACCTTGCTCTTCTAGCTGCTCCATCTTCACGAGTCATTTTTACACGATGGCTGTCATATAAACAAAACAAGCCGGTAAGGAACCAAACAGGAAATAGGCATAGTGTAAAGAGGATGTAGATTTGACCAATCAGAGGCCACCTGTCTGCGACACAGTCTGCGTTCACCTATGATTTTGGAAAAGGTGCAGCAGAGTGTCTGCGAAAGGGGTGGGGCATATCTGCGTTAACTGCAACACACATGCAGACGACCTGGTTTCTTAGTATAAATCAGCCTTTACTCTTATTCCTGCATCTGTTCTTTGATTTACTGACTGGCAGACTGGGACTGGTAATATAACCATATGTCCACCCATGTGCATAATAAGCTACCTAAAACCTACCTATTTATACTGCGAAACACCCACATCCCAAGCTAAAATTAATTAATTAAGTGAATCACTAACTAAAAACCTATTCTACATAACAAATCAAACTAAATTATCTACATTTTACGATTTAACTGAAAAATGGAAAAGTACCTCCTATAGATTATTTTTTTTTTTTTACATTTTTGCAAAGTCATACTAGACTCAACCGCTTTGACTTCTTAGAGGGAAAACCGCTGTGGGTAATTGCGACAGCCACTAACTACTTTGTCTGTTGTTGTTCTGTTTTATCTCTCCTGCCACCAGCGATGAGGAACTGTCCCAGTACCTGCTGCAGTTGGTGCAGGTGCTGCGCTATGAGCCGTATTACGACTGTGCCCTCACCCACTTCTTGCTGGATCGTGCGCAAAGCAACCGTAAAATTGGCCACTTCCTCTTCTGGCATCTGAGGTGAGTGAATTAAGGTCTGCAGCTTCGATCGGTCATTAGAAAACCTTCTGAATCGTTCCTGCTGCATGTCTGCTGCCCCCTAAAGGTCAGAGATCCACATGCCAGCCGTGTCGGTCCAGTTCTCCCTCATCCTGGAGGCGTATTGTAGAGGAAGCATCCCTCATATTGAGGTTTTAAAGAAACAGGCAAGATGAATTCTTTCTTGTTTATCCAACTTCTAATCTACAATTTGGAGATTAATAAATAAAAAAAGTTTGGGTTTCTTTTCACATGATTAATGTCTGTCAGAATAGTAGATATTTTTAGACTCTTGCTCTGTTTTTTTTAACCTTGTCAGTGGAACATTTCTGGGCTTTATTATCTGTACCGGTCACAGTCATTATTCAAAAAGCTAAACAATCCACTGGACTTTGTTTCCAACTTTAAAGACGTTTCACTTCCCATCTAGAAAAAGCTTCCTGGATGGGAAGCGAAACGTCTTCAAACTTGGAAGCAAAGTCCAGTGGATTGTTTTAAAAAAAAACTTTTTTAGTAATTTATTATCCGTCCCTCCTTATGGAAAAGTCTGGCAGCTGCTAGTAGTAGAACGGCTTCATCGGCCTGATGTTGTTTATTCCTGCGTTTCCAGGTTGAAGCCCTCAGTAAACTGAAATCTGTAAATGAGCTCATCAAACTGGGGACCATCAAGAACGCCCGCAGCAAAACGAAGGAGGCGATGCTGACCAAGGAGGCCATGATGACCTGTTTGAGACAGAGCGGCTATTCGGAGGCTCTGTCGGACCTGAACTCCCCTCTCGACCCCAGTGTGCTGCTGTCTGACATCAAGTAAGTTAAACGCAGCCCCTCTTCCCCCCAACTGGGAGCAAACTGGTCCGAGCTTCAGGTAACTCTCTTTCTTTGCTCCGTTAGTGTGGAGAAGTGCCGCTATATGGACTCCAAAATGAAGCCTCTGTGGATCGTTTACAACAACAAGCTGCTTAACGGGGATACTTTGGGGATCATCTTTAAAAACGGAGACGGTAGGAATCACACAGTCGTCCTTCATCCTTTTATTCCAAGGAGATTCTTCCACAGACATTCTAATTCACAGACTGACACACAATCTATGTCAAGAAATGCATTAGTCTTCTCCCTCATTACTTTAACGACACCAAATAAATTCCAGCTGCCTACAGAGAGAAGAAGCCAAGAGGTTATAATAATATTAATAATAATTTAACTTTATTGATCTCACATTGGAGAAATTTACCTTTGCATTTAACCCATCCCCATGGGAAGCAGTGGGCTGCCATCGTGCGGCGCCCGGGGAGCAGTGTGGGGTTACGGGTCTTTCTCAGGGATCTCAGAACCTCAGGATTCCAAGCTCTGTGCCCTAACAACTGTAGCCTCGTGAGACCATCCTGATCTCGCGAGTAGGGTTGTCAAAAGTATCGATACAGCCATCTAAAGTGCAGAATAGTGGAAAATGCACTTTCTGAACACTGTGTGATTGAATAATTCTACGCACTTTTCAGTTTCAGACTTTTTTTTGTAAGAGGTGCAGCTGCTGAGAATTATTTTTGTTTCTTAACCGGTTTGGCTAGTGTCATTGTTATGTGTGTAAAGCATAGCCAAGGAAGGAACATTTAATTTTAATTTTGTAATTTTTTTAATCAGCTTGCTTAATACTCTGCACAGCAAACAACCTCAAAATATTGTTCTTATTGTTTATTGTATTTCTATTATTAATGAAAATTTCTGTTGAATTATGGAGTCTTTGTTTTTATCCTTGTGGTATCGAAAATGGTATCGAGTATCGAATATTTTACTTAGTATCGGTATCGAGTTGAAAAGTTTAGTATCGTGACAACCCTACTCGCGAGCTTTCAAGGTTTCACTCGCAGATCAG